AGAATCCATGAATCCAACATTACAGTAAGAGACTTCAACACCCTCCATCAGAAATGGGCAGATCAGCAGGCAGAAAACCAATAATGGCACAGTTTAACTCAACAGCACCATCAATCAAGGATATAATGGGCATCTTTAGACCACTTTCATCCAACAATAGCAGAATACACATTCTTTTCAAATTCGCATGGAATATTCACTGAGACAGACCACATTCTGGGCCATAGAACACATCTTAACAAATTAAAAATAATAGAAATCATACACAGTATGCTCTCAGAACACAGTGGAATTAAACTAGAAATCAGTAACATCAAGATAGTTGAACAATACCCAAATATAGGAAGATTAAACAACACACTCCTAAAATAACATGTGGGTCAAGAAGAAGTCTCAACAGTGGGGCTGGCCAGTTAGCTCACTTGGGAGAGTATGGTGCTGGTAACTCTAAGGTCAAGGGTTCAGATCCTGAACTGGCCAGGCACCAAAAAAAAGAAAAGAAAAGAAAGTCTCATTAGAAATTTCTAAAATATTTGAATTAAATGAAAATGAAAACACAACCTATCAAAATTTATGGGATGAAGCCAAAGTAATGTTTAGAGGGAAATTTATAGCATTAAATGCAGATATTGGAAAAGAAGAAAGATTTAAAATCAATAATCTAAGCTTTTACCCTAAGAAAGTAGAGAAAGAAGAGCAATTAAGTCAAACACAAGCTAGAGAAAAGAAACAATAAAAATTAGAGCAGAAATCAATGAAATTGAAAACAGGAAAACAATTAGGAAAATCAACAAAAGCAAAGGCTGTTTTTTTTGAAAAGATCAATAAAATTGATAAACCTCCAGCCTGGCTAACCAAGAAAAAAAGAGAGATGATCCAAATTACCAGTATCATAAATAAAAGGGTCATCACTATTAATCGCATGGCCATGAAAAGGTGAATAAAATACCGTCATCATCTCCATGTCACAAATTTAATAACTTAGATGAAATGGGCCAATTCCTTGTGAGACACATCTACCAAAACTCATGTGACGAGAAACAGATAATCTGCATAGGACTATATTGAATATAGGGAAAAAACAAATGTTTTTCTGTACATCCACACTCAGCACTTCTGTGACCAGATTATAAACATTTCTGTGACAAGTTAAAGGCTAAGTCTCACAAGATGCCCCTCACTTCAGATGCCAATTGCAAGTAGTGGGTCCCCGGGTTACCCATACATCTGTCAGACTTGGCTACCAATCAAGGGTTCCCACGGCCCCTCCCGGGTTTGGTAATTTGCTAGAACGGCTCATAGAACCAGGGCAAGTAAACTTACTATTACCAACATATTGTAAAGGACACAACTCAGGGACAAGGAGAAGGCAGAGGTGCACAGGGCAAGGTTCTCCAGGTGTGGCACTAACCAGGGGCTCCACTTGTCCACCACCCAGGAGACTCTTGGGACCCCTTCCTTTCGGGTTTCTATTAAGGCTTCATTAGGGAGGCATGACTGAATAAGTCACTGGCCGTTGGTGACTGAACCAAATCTCCAGACCCTTCCCCTCCCGGGAGGTCAGGGTTTGAGGCTTCTAGTTCAACCCTCTGAACACGTGGCTGGTTCCCTGGCCAGCAGCCCCCAATCCCCAGGAGTCATCTTATTAGCACAAACTCAGGGGTGAGTGAAAGGGGCATATTATGAATAACAGAAGACAATCCTCTCACCTAAATCACTCAGGAAATTACAAGGGTTTTTAGTAGCCCTGTGCCAGGAGCCAGGGTGAAGGCCAAATATATGTATTTTTTATCATGTCACAATACTTAATGGTGAGAAACTAGAAGCTTTCCCATCAAGATCAGGAACAAGGCAAGGAGGTTGCCTCTCACCACTTGTATTCAGCATCATCCTCAAAGTCCTAGCTAGAAACAGACCGTACACCTATCACAAAAACTCAAAATGGTTCAGAGACCTAAATATAAAACTCCTATGAGTTTTTAGATATATCACCAAATTCATGACCCATGTAAGAAGAAATTGGTAAGATGGACTTTATTAAAATTGAAAACTCCTGTTCTGCTGAAGACACTGTTAAGAGAATAGACAAGCCACAGATTAGGAGAAAATATTTGCAAAACACATATCTGATAAAGGTGACCCATGTAAGAAGAAATTGGTAAGATGGACTTTATTAAAATTGAAAACTCCTGTTCTGCCGAAGACACTGTTAAGAGAATAGACAAGCCACAGATTAGGAGAAAATATTTGCAAAACACATATCTGATAAAGGACTGGTGTCCAAAATATACAAAGAACTCCTAAAATGCAACAATAGAAAAACAACCCAGTTTAAAAATGGGCCAAAGATATGAACAGATACCTCACCAAAGACGATATACAGATGACAAGCATATAAAAAGATGTTCAATATCATATGTTGTTAAAATCCAAAAATCTGAGAACACCGAATGCTAAAGGATGTGGAGAAACAGGAGCTCTTACTCATTGCTGGTGGGAAAACAAAACTGTCGGTTTCTTACATAAAGCTAAGAAAACTGGCAAACTGGAAGCAACAAGACCTCCTGTGATAGGTAAGTGGAAAAACAAACCGTGGTACCACCACACAGTGGGATGTTACACAGTGATAAAAATAAATTAGATATCAAGCCACGAAATGATATGGAAGAACTTTATTATTATTTTTTTTAATTTTTTTTTTTTTTGTCCTTTTTGAGACCGGCCGCACCGTGCTCAGCCAGTGAGCGCTGTGAGCGCACCGGTCATCTCTATATAGGATCCGAACCCGCGGTGGGAGCGCTCGCTCCCAGCGCCGCACTCTCCCGAGTGCGCCACGGGCTCGGCCCGATATGGAAGAACTTTAAATGCATGTTGCTGAGTGAAAAAGTCTGAAAGGGTAACACATTAGATTTCATAATAGCCTTATATGCCAACTGTTTGGCATTCTAGAAAAGGCAAAACTACAGAGACAGTAAAGAGATCAGTGGTTGCCATGGGCTAGGGAGACGTGGGAAGGGAAGAGTAGGTAGAGGACAGGGCATTTTTAGGGTGATGAAGCTATTCTGCACGATAGTGTAATGTGGATACGTGGCATCAGACGTGTCAACATCAAGTACAGCACAGTGAGCACCAGTGAGACCATGGACTGTGTTAGTAATCAAGATCAATATTGGTTCCTGTCTTGTGACAAATGCACTGCACTGATGCGAGATATTAATTATAGGGGACGAGCAGGCAAAGGAATTCTCTGTACTACCTCTTAAACTTTTTGTAAATCTAAAACTGTCCTAAAAACAATCCATTTTCTAAAGAAATAAGCAACAGAAGTTGGGGAGTGGGTAGAGGCAGTGGTGAACACGGATGTCAGACTACTGACACATGCTGGAGCTGGGGGCAGGGACATGGGGCTTTGCTATACTACTCTGCTTAATTTGTATATATTCAAGATTTTTCACAATAAAAAGCTTTTAAAAATCCACATTAACTTAGGAATTATATGTAGATAATGAATCTGTAAAGGAACAAGAAGAAAACACAGATTTTTGAAGCAAGCTCTAAGTTATGAAACTGAAGGAAGTGGCTGAATAACATTTGCAGAGGTTAACATGGGGCTTTGCTATACTACTCTGCTTAATTTGTATATATTCAAGATTTTTCACAATAAAAAGCTTTTAAAAATCCACATTAACTTAGGAATTATATGTAGATAATGAATCTGTAAAGGAACAAGAAGAAAACACAGATTTTTGAAGCAAGCTCTAAGTTATGAAACTGAAGGAAGTGGCTGAATAACATTTGCAGAGGTTAACATGCTTATTATTTCAGCAATATTCATAACTAAGCGAGCAAGGAAGGGCACATTGGATAAGACCACGGAGAACCACTCGCCCTCGCTGGTTCACAGAAATGCAGATGATGTACCGTCAAGGAACGTCCCTGGTTTCGGAGTGACAGTGCCCAGTGTTTGCGAGGGCTCAGGGAAGAGTGCGGCATCCTGGAGGATGCCGATCGGCCATGGCTCCTGGAGGATGGCCTGCTCTAACCTCGGAGGTCCTCGGCCCAGCTACTCCATTCTGGGGAACTTGTCCAAAAACAAAGGGATTAGTTAAAGCTAACAGACTGAATAAGCACGTGGATAGCCCTTTCCACATAAATCCCTGAAAAATGACCAAAGGATTCCTTCACTGAAGAATAAATCCATAACTGCACTGAGACATCAAGAAAGCAGACAGCTTGAAGAAGGCATCCCAGACAGACAGCAGGCCTGCCAACAGACCATCCTGAGGGGAGGCACCTCCAGCCGCTCCACTGCTCCTCCTGACACCTCCTGCTTGCTCTCCACACCCTCCAGGCCGCTCCAGAGTCCAGCCCTGTACCTCCCCCCACAGGCCCCCACCACTGACGGACAAAACTCCCTCATAGCCACGTTGCCTTTGGTCCACTCGTCCAGCTCCCCTTCACGGCTAAGCCCCTTAAAGACAATGCCTCAACCCTGGCTTCACTCCCCACCTCCCCTGCGCCCCCTATGCACCAATCTCCACTCCCACCATGCCAACGAGACTGGTCACCAGGGGACCCATGGGGCTGCATCCTGCTGTCTCCAGCACCACTGGGGGCCCCTCTTCTCCCCTCATGGCTCCTGTGACTCCATGCTCCCCCTCTCAGTGTCCTCTTCTCAACCTGCTTTGGCTACACCTCTATAACCACAGCCTGCTCTCAGTGTAGATGTGGAACCCAGCCCAGCACCTCGTTCAGTCCCATGGCTTCAAACACCTCTGACCTCATCCTGACACTCCAGATTCACATGCCCAACTTTAAAAGGCCAGGTGTTGTTCAAAGCCTGGCAGTACCACTCAAGACATGTCAAACACTATTCCTCACTTCCACCTGCTCCTCCCCAGGCCTCCCCCACCTCAGTGGAGGGCACCACCATCCACCTGGGAACTCAAGCCCAAGTTCAGCAGCTGGCCTTGGTTGCTCTTTTCCTTCTCAGCTCTCACAGCCCAGCCAATCCTGCAGCATCTCCACCTTCACCACCACCCTCTCCCCCGTCTGAGCCATTGCCACCTGCCCTGGGACCACGGCAGCAGCTGCCAGAGCCCCCTACCCACCTCCTCATAGTCCCTTGCCATCCTTCCTCCACGTCAGCAGGGGGATCTTCTACAAAACCTACAGGTCACTCCCTGCTTAAAACCGTCCCATCAATTCCCAACACACAAGGAAGGAAATAATCAAGGAAACAACAGAAGAAAATTTTCCACATCTAAAAAGTGATGATCAGTGGGCCTACGAGTCGATGAAGGTGACATGCTACATACCAGGAACAAAAAGGAAACCTTACTCTGCATGAAGAGGCAGGTCACATACAAAGAAACCCGAGTCCGACTGGCTTCAGACAATGGAACTGCACAGAGGTAAAGAAACGATTCCTTCAGGTTCAGACAGGAGAGGGTTTTACACCTCGAACTGTGTTCTCAACCAAACTAGCCTCTGAATGTGGGGCAAAGCAAAGATGTTCTCTTATACTCAAGGGCACAGAAAAACAGACAGTCACAAACCGAACCTCTCAAAATTTTACTGGAACATGAACTATAAATCTAAATAATTATGGTTGCAGGATGGGGAAAAATAAGATCATGGAACTCAGACCACAGACAGTCTTGACCTGGGGGAGACAGCATCATGGGACAAACCACCCCTAAACATTCACAGAAAGACAAGCTGGCTTACATGTTCACTTTAAAACTGAAAGACATCCACCAGAAGAATAGAAAAAGAAATGAGAAAGCCTAACAAATTAAAAAACGAAAAGGTAGGCCCAAATTCCAACTTACCAATAATCAAAACTGTAAGTTGATGAAAGTACTCTATAAAAAGATGATGACTCTCAGTTGGAGTTAAAAATATAACTATAAATATAAAGTAACACAAAAAGGTTGGAAATAAGGAGATAGAGAAATAAGACTTTAGGGCTGGCCCGTAGCTCACTCGGAGAGTGTGGTGCTGATAACACCAAGGCCACGGGTTTGGATCCCATATAGGGATGGCCGGTTCGCTCACTGGCTGAGCGTGGTGCTGACAACAGCAAGTCAAGGCTTAAGATCCCCTTACCGGTCATCTTTAAAAAAAAAAAAAAAAAAAAGAAAGAAGACTTTAAATGGAACAAAAAGGGGTTTTCTGTGTTGATAACATTCAGAAAACTTATGCATCTAACAATGTGGTCTTGAAACACAACGCGAAACTTGGTAGAAGAACGAGGCACCTCCAGAATCTCAGTTAAGAGAACTTCTTACCTTTCTTAGAAATCAACAGACCAAGTTCCTAATAAGAATTTAGGGTAACAAATCTGTAGAGTAACACAAATAAGCAAGATCCTAGTCTTGTGTGACAGAGAACAATGTGGCCAACAAGTGAAGAGGACACATTCTTCTCAAACTGCAATCAAGTCATGAAAACAGACTGTGTATTAAGCCACAATGAAATCTCAAGACTTCAAAAAGCAGAACTCTTTAAGAGACCATGTAACTGGAACTTAATGCAATAAATTTAAAAAATGACTACAAAAAAATTAGCTCTCCTCCCCCAATCTATCCATTTGAAAAATTGTCAACACCCTTCTAAGTAACTCTAGGGTTAAAGAGGAAATCAAAACCGAAATGACAAATTATTTAGAAACAAACAGTAGTGAGAGCAGCATGAGGCAAAGCCACAGCGTGTGGCCAAAGAGACAGAAGAAGGTCCACGGCCTCAACTGCTGGTGTCAGGAAACACACCAGGAGCCAGAGCAACAGAAGAGAACCACAGGAAGTAGAAAGTGGGGATCAGTGAAGCAGAAGCAACCATGCAGGTGAAGGGAAGGGGTGGCTGGAAAGACCCATAACAGGGAAAACTTTGGGAATTCTGACCAAGAGGAACAGAAAAAGGTAACAAAAGCAAAATCAGGCATGAGAAACTGCCAAAACAGCATAAAAATTCTAGGAGAATATAGTGTACAACTTTAACCAGCACATCTGAAAATCTAGATCGGGGTACGCAGCATGCCGTTCCTCCCCGGCTGCGTGAGGAAGCACATGGCCATGACCTTTGTTTTTGGTTGTGCTAATGGTTGCTGCCCTGAAACCTTTTTCTACAGACTCCCTCCTCACTGACAAACGTTGGTTCAGATGAAACAATGTGGTAGGAAAATGTTTTCCATATGTATATAATAGGCAAAAGATACTATCCTCAATAAGAATATCTAGAAACTAATTTCACGAAGTACTTAATAAAATAGTTGGAAAAACAGAAACATAACCAATAAACAGATAAAAATATATTCAACCTATTTGTATAGAGACAAACATTTATGTAAAAGCATAAAAAATAGTCTAAAAGATTACACACCAGATTTTTAGGAGCAATAAGGAATAAAACTTGGTAGGTGTGTGAGAAATGGGAATTTTCACTTCTTGGCCTATATGTTTCCTTTAAAAAAATTTATTATTAATATAGTTTTCTTATATTCTAAGATGTTGTGGAGCAGTTGGGGTAGAGGGGGAGAGGGGAAGGGGGAAGAGGGTGTGAGGAGGAGGCGTGGTCAAGGGCGTGGTCAAGGCCCACGGCACCCTTCATTTTGGCAGGGTTGGCTTATGTATTTCTGTATTGTTTCAATTTTTACAAAAGAGAATATATTGTACTTTACCTGATGTTTTAACCTTGAATAGATATTAAAAGAAATAATTATTAATATTCAAAATGATTTAACTTCAAGGAAATTCATCAAAACACGAATGGAAAGGATCTCTTCATGATTTTAGAAGACTCCTATTTTTCCTTTGTCTGCTTTATTTTACACTTAGAATCTAACTCATCTAGAATTTGTCTGTGTAAGATATGTAACAGACGCTAACTTCCCCTGGACAAATAAAAAGCCAACTATTCAGGCACCATCCCCCGTGTAGTTCACGTTCCCAGGTGGTGTGAAATGCCTCTTTTCTCACCGGCCAACCCCCCACACATGCAAATGCCTCTCGTGACCAGGAACAAGCGAGGTCGGCTTGCTACCGTGGGTTCCCTCGTCTGCAGGGATGGCTACTACCAACCAGAGCTTCCTCCTGAGACCACAGGAAGCACATGGCCCACAGAGGTGCTCAGGGGACATCGGCCACGTTGCAGAAATGCCCCTCCTAACAGAAGGGAGTGCGGGAGTCGCGATTGCTCGGGGTACTGACCGCGGCTCGGGGACAGCAGGCCACTCAGGTAGGGGATGCTCACTCTCTTCAGCTCGTCCAGCTTCTCCCGCAGCTTGCGCACCTGGCTGTCAGAGCGGCTGACGCGCTGCCGCAGGCTCTTCAGCTCTCCGTTCTTCTTTTCCACCTGCTCCCGCAGGCAGCACACCTGGCTCTTGTTCTGCCGGGAGGAGAAGCAGTAGGAGTGCAGTGAGTCGATGAGTTTGCAGGCCCCCGATGCCGACAGGATCACCTCGTTGATGGACATGGGGCTGGCATCGCTGTGCGCACTCTGCACAGCTTCTGCGGCTGGCTTCGGGGTGACGTCGGTCGGAGGAGCGGAGGGGCTCTGGGAAGGCTTTTGAGGCGTTGCTGTGAGTGATGAACTCGGGGGGCTCTGGGCCAAGCCCTTGTCGGGCCCTAGACTGCTCCCACTGCAGCCCGGCTCCACATCTCTCTTCAGCCTCTTTCGGTCGATGGGCTCTCGGGGGACAGACGGCCTCTCTCGAGTGTGCTTAGAGGAGAAGCTGTAAGAATGAAGTGAGCCAATAAATCTGCATGCCCCAGATCCTGGGGGAGTAAAGTCATCTATGGAAATGCCACTCTTATCTGCCACACCCCCCTCCGTGGAGGAGGTGCCGTTCTCATCACCAGCAACTGCAGCAGACACTTGTGCTTCTGCCTGACTGCCTGCTGCTGTGGTGGCCAGTCCATCTCCTAGAGTTGTTTCCAGAGACTGCTGCACCAGCTCCTGACTGACGGCTTCCTGGGCAGCCCTGGGTGCGGTGTCATCCTGCAGAGCTGCTCGCTTCAACTTGCGGGACTCTGGCTTGGCCATCAGGCTTTCACTCGAGGATGCCGACCAACCTGTGGCTCCTTTCCCAGCTGCTGTGCTCGAGTGCCCCCTCATGCCCCCTGTGGCCTTGCTGGTGTCCTTTCTCCTGGTGCGGCCATGACCCCCAGCCCCCCTCTTCTTCTCGGGCAGGTGGAATATCGAGGGCACGGCTGTGGGCTTGAGCAGGCGGTGCTGGTCCTCCAGCCTTTTGGAGAAGCTGTCTTTGGTGAAATGTTCACTACAGAGGAATGAATACTTAGTGGGGGTCCAGTTATCCCTCTGAACAGCTTTTAACCACTGGATCAGACGTTTTGAGTCCTTCAGGGGGAACCTGCAGGGCAAATGACAAATTAGAAATAAACAATTAAATGTCTTTCCCTAAAATGATCAACCATAAAAGCAAAACAAGTGTTTTTGCAAACACCTGTATCAACTTCATCTGCTTAAAAAATACTTTAATAAAGATTTAAGGAACACCTTCTACGAGGGTACTTCAAAAAGTTTGTGGAAAGATTCGTATATCTTTTAATTCTATTCTTCCATGAACATTTTGAAGTACCCTCATATCTGCAAATTATTACTGGAATAGAAAGTTGAAAGACCCATTGTCTACCATTAAGGAGAGAGTGGTTGGTAGGGCAGATAGGAATGAAAGTAAATAACCTCTCCCCAGGCTGTGTGGTAATTGCCCTGTAGGAACAAAGGATGCTTAGAGATAGCCAAGATGGTATCAGGACAATAGGAACTAGCTCCTAGATGCACACAGCTGACCAATCCTCTTGGAGTGCTTGGGAGACAGGACTTTGGGTGCTAAAACTGAGATGGCTGATCACCCTACTGAGAAGTTCAGGACAATAGGAACTAGCTCCTAGATGCACACAGCTGACCAATCCTCTTGGAGTGCTTGGCAGACAGGACTTTGGGTGCTAAAACTGAGATGGCTGATCACCCTACTGAGAAGTCAGGCCAGTGTCAGCCTTCAGAGATGGGAACAAGAGGCCAGGAGAGCATCCCAGATGTCCAGCACGGTGCCAGCCCCAACTGTGGCTCAAGCAGCTGAGGATGTGGGGACCAACTCCGTAAGGTAAGACTCAAGAGCGGTAGTTCTTTGTTGATACTACACTCTGCTACCAGGGGAAAAACTGCACCCTTTAAGTCAGCCAGGGGCTGGCTGGTTAGCACAGTAGGTTACTGCGTGGTTTTATACACCAAGGTCACGCGGGGGGATCCCCACACTGGCCAGCTGCAGGAGAGAGGGGGAGTTACTGTTTAATAGGTTCAGAGTTTCACCTCCACAAGCCAAAAAGAGTTCTGGAGATAAATGGTGGTGATGGTTGCACAACGATGTGAATGCGTTTAGTGCCACTGAACTGTACACTTAAAAGTGACTAGGATGGTACATTTTATGTTACGTATATAAATTGTATCATAATTTTTAAAACTGGAAAAAGCAAGCAGTCCCAGAAGATACTGATTATGACACAAAATTATTTCTTCTTTATTAGCTAATAAAGATACTTAGTCATTTTTTCACTGAGGCAAGATGAAGAGACCCCAGACCAAACTCTGCGCCCGATGGGGGTGGGACAGGGGCGCCACTCCGACCCGTTTGCTCCAGTGCAGCGCCCCCCCCCCCCCCCCCACGCCGCTGCGGTCCGGACCAGGACAGACGGGCCCGGACCAGGACAGACCCTAGGGAGCTCTGGGCAACATGCCCTTTCACCCTCCTCGCCCAGTGCCTTGTGAGCCTGACACCTTCCACCCCCGGCGACCCCCACGCCATTCTCAATGTCAAAGGCAGCCTTCTCCGCACTACTCTGCCTCGTCTTCCGAACGGTAACTAAACGTGCGGCACACGTTCTCTGTCAAGAAAGCGCGCTGGCTGATTTCACAGACTGGATCCCCGTAAACTTTCAGGAGCATCCTAGACAGCACGTGCCACTCCCGTTATTTAATACTGAAGTGACACCATGCAGCGTGAGACGGAAACATCTGCCCGGGGATCGAGTCCGTGTGCCGGCACCGTCCCCGTACGGCTCCCGGGCCAGCACTCTGCGGGGTGACCGTCGAGGCGGCACCGGGAGGCCTGTGGCCGCAGGAAGTGCGAGCGGCGTCCGCCCAGCCGCGCTCCGGGTGGCCGACGCCGTGGCGGTCTCCGGGTGGCTCCGGGACGCGAAGCCGCGGCGGCCGTGGAAAGACAGCGGCGGCCGTGGAAGGACAGCGGCGCCCGCGGAGCGCGCGTG